TAGAGACGCGCCTTGCCGGCCTTGTACTGCACAACCTTGAAGCTCTTGTGGGCGTTGCACCGCTCGTCAGGGCAGTGCATCGTCTTCTTCTTCGGGTAGTTCACCATTTCCTATGTGCGCGGGCTATCCCCTTCCTGCATGTGTGTAGAGAAGAGGGCAGAAAGAAGGAAAAGCAGATTCATCGCCGCACCCCGTTATCACATTCCCAAAGCTGTCATTGTGGCATTCATCGCCGTCACAGATCAAATGCTGCACGTGCGTATTCGCATATACAACACGAAAAACACCAAAAACCCCCACAACAACGTCACCACCGATAACGCCAACACCTCTACGCATACTCATCGTTGGCGGCGGCCGCGGTCTGCTCACGGCAGTCATACGCGTAGAAGTTACGGTAGCTCAGAAGAATCGGTAGAACAGTAGCCTGGTGGCCGGACCGCACAATGTCTTCTAGCTCGACCCACTCGTGCCACTTGGGGTTAATCATGTCAATCACCTCCGAGAGAATCGACTGCGCGGAGATGTCCGTCATGAGGCCGTTTACGATGAGCTCGTTGGCGATTTCCTTGCAGAAACACCGCAGTGTCTCGACCGTCACAAATGACTTGGTCTCCTCTAGGTCGAGGATGCTCCAAATATACTTCATCGCCGGCAGCGTGGCGGCATGCTCGGTTGCAATGACAAAGTCTAGGTACGTCTTGTAATCCATGATGTGCCGCCTGCCGTTTTGCGGGACGTGACACTCAAAGGTGCGATCAATCACAAGCCGCGTGAAGCTCGCGTCGCTGTAGCGTGAGAGTTCGTCGGCTGTCAAAACACCGTCGCCATCAAGATCAAGACTCGTGAAGTGTTCGTAGATACGGCTCATGAGCGCCAGTGAGAACCAGTTGTCCATGCTGAGCACATCAGGCGTGAGAAACTCCATTGCACCGGAGTTCCAGTACAACTGACAGCGGCGGACATTCAGCACCGCGTCCTCCGTCAGTGTCTTCACTGTGTACATGTCGTCGGGGTCGTTGCCCTCGCCCTCGAACGAGATCACGAGCGCCGGAACAGTGTCGTCCTCGGCGGCGTCTGCCGCCACAAGCGTCATGGCCACGTCCACTGTGCAGCCTTCCGGGAAGACCGTGATTGCGTCGTGCGCGTCACTCTCGAACATCCGCAGCAGCTCCGAAAAGACATCGCTCTTCATCATGCGCTCGATGGAGATCGCCCCGGTGCGCCGCGTATCGCACATGAACATGAACTTTCGCGAGGCGTGGCAGAGATAGTACGGCTGCATCCATGGTGGCATATCCCGCACAAGCCGCAGGTTTGGCACCAGCTCGCACAGGAAGCTCTCTATATTCTCCTGCGTGAGCCCGTTCGACAGCGGCGACGACGCGCTTGGCGGGCATAGCAGGCGGCTCGTCACGCGAGCGGCGGGGTCCTGAAGCGACGGCGGCGGCACTCGCGCCACCAGCTCCAGCTCGATGCGCAGGCGGTAGAGCAGCAGTCGCTTCGCCGCAAAGGCGTACAAAGGGACGGCGGGAATTGTTCCATCCTCAGCCCGCACAAATGCGAGAAACGTAGACGGCGAAAGGAACGGGTGGTTAAAATACAAACGTTTGCGAGCCTCACGTTCCTTTGCGGGTGCCGTCTTTTCCTCCTCCGGGGTAATGTGAAAGATGAGGCTGTGCACCATGTTTCTGTATCCATCGTACGACAGCCTCAGCTCGTCGTAGGACTCCAACGAGTCACCAGAGTCCGCATCCTTCTGCTCGCGGAACTTCACAATTTTGCTCCACAGCTCAGCCGGGTTTGTGTTGGCATACAGTTGGGCGACATGGGTGGCGAGGTACTGCCGCCGCGCCTCGCACGCCGATTGCACCGACAGCCGCTCGCTCGGTGGCACCGAAACGGGGACCGATAGCATGTGAGTGGAGGCGCTGTACTGGCACAACTACGCGGATAAAGGAGAAAGGAATAATCAGGGGCCCAACACGAGAACAAGTGAAGCTGAAAAAGAAACNCAAAGAGTGAAGGAAGGAGTATGTACGCACCCACTCGTTCTCCTGCCACTCGGCCGTAGAAACTCACGTCTGACGAAACGCAGACAAAAAAAAAAAATATATGTGATGGTGATGAATCCCTCTGCAGGGTTTACTACTGGAGAGGCTTACCGGCCCCACAATCGCGGCATGTTTCCCGATCCTTGAAGTTTTTGTAGCCGCATTCGCATATCCAGAGCGTCGGGTCTGCTGCACCACTCGCCGTCGGGGACTCCGCCTTACAATTCTTACACCTCACCCTCGAGGAGAAGTTGAGAAAGTCGCATTGGCTGCATCGCCAGTCATCACTCCGCACGGCCCGTGGGGGCGGAGATGTAGAAGGTGGCGGCACCGTGTACGTGGCACCGCACACCTCACATGATGTGGCGCTTAATGCGTTGACGGTATGGCACGTCAGNCACGTCCACGGTACTTGCCTGTTGTCTTTCTTGCTAGTTGTAGTGGTAGAAGCGGCATTCGTCGCACTGGCTGCTGTTGCTGTAGCGCCAGGGGTGGTGGAGGGAGCCTTGCCGCCGCACCGCAGGCATTCCCCTCGGCCGCGGAAGTTGTGTGTGTTGCACTTCTCGCATAGCCAGTCGCCGGGAAGCAGTCTATTGCCGGCGGCGTGTTGTTTGTCCCTGGCGCCGGACGGCCTCGACGCCTCGCAGGTGAGGCAGAACTCCCGCTTCGCGAAGTTGTGCGTCCCGCAGACGCACACCCAGTCGCCCTTCTTGAAGCCGATGTGCTGCGCGTCCATCCCACGCACATCATCGGCGATGCGATGCGCCACCGGCCTTGCGCGGTGGCACTGAAAGCAGGCCGAGCGCGACGCAAAGTTCAAGAAGCCGCAGGCGCACGTCCAGTCGCCCGCCAGTCGCCCAAAAAGACGCGGCGCCGTCGATTGGTGCAAATTGCGTCGGCCGCCGACGCAGCTCGTCGCCACCACCATCATCGTGCGCCGAAGGCTACCAAACATCTGCTGAACGCTTCGCACCCGCTGCACTCTCTCTCTCTCTCCTGAAACAACAACAACAACAACAACGGCAGTAGCAGCAGTACACGATGTCTCAAGAAATCTCATTCAGTACCGATGAACAACAATAACACAAAAATTTCCAAGCCATGTTCTTCCTATGCGGTGTTCATTCTCTCTCTCTCTCTCTCTCTTTCTCTCTCTCTCCCTCTCTCTCTCTCTCTGTTTCTCTCGCTTCTTCTTCATTTGCCTTCTTTTCGTCGCAGCCGGCTGAGCAAAGCTTCTGGCCTATCTTTCTCGCTTCTTTAGCCTTACCAAAAAAGAGAACAAAAGCAAGCCTCTCACTGTTCGTGCAAAGCCGCGCCGTCAGAGTTAAGCCCATTTGTTGTCCTCTTCATCCCCTTCATTGTTGTCGTCACCGCTGGTGAAGAAAGCAGCCGGTACTGCACCGGCCTCGGCGTCCCTGACCATGGAAGGCGGCGGGGCAGCCGGCACTTCGCCTGGCGAAGATGCACTCATCACAGACGCCGCGTGGCGCATCTCAGCGGGCGACATCAAATCGTCGTCGTGCGTCACCGCCGGCGGCTTCACCGCCTGGGGAGACTCGAAGCAAAGGGCGGCGCGGCCCTCCACCTCACTGCTGCCGGTGCTCGGCAACTGTTGTGATTGCTCTTGCTTATGGTGCTGTTGTTGTTGTTCCTCCCGTGTGTCGTTGTGATCGCCGCGGCCTCGCTGCGGGGTCTCCAGCACGACGGACGGCGCGGCCCGCATAGACGGGAAGAGATTCGGGTACGCCACCGGGCTCGCGATGGCCTCACCCACGCGCGGCAGTGCAGCAAGAGTCACCTTCCACTTTGCCACAACCTCCTCCACCTTGCTGTGGCAGTAGGTCCGGGCGTAGAATGCAGCCTCGGCCACCTTGCCGGTGCGGCAAAGCAAATCCACGTTCTCCTCGTACCGCCCCGTCAGGTGAAAGCATGTAAACGCAACGTTGGCTTTCCCATTCGCGATGCACGCATCGCCGAGCTTCGATATCGCTTCCATGTCGCCCATGCAGGAATAGAGGAGCAGGAGCCCGCTGTTGTCGCCACAATTGCACAGTGCGTCCTCTGCGAGTTTAAGCATGCCCCTTTCCATTGCCAGGTCCGCCACCTGCTTCCACCGCCCCATCGATGGAGACCTCTCCGCGATTTCCTTTGCCAGCTGCAGTCTGCCCAGCTGCACTGCCAGCTCAAAGCGGTGGTTTTCCTCCGTCGTCACCTTCAGTGCCTGCTCGAGGTGATTCTTCGCCTGGAGGAACTGCGCAAGTCGCAATCGTTCACTTTTCTCCACAGAGGGCAGCAGTTGTTCAGCGGTGGCAAAGTCTTCACGGACAATGGCGGCCATGTACTCAATGACATTGAGTCGCAGCACATAGCTCGTGACGTTCTTCTCCTTGTCAATACACATAATACGGTTTTCCTTCGGCAGATAACCGAGGAGATACTGATTACGCGAAAGCACAGCAATGCTGTTCGTCTCTCCACCAATGTAATAGCTGAGGCGGTGTGCTTGATTTATGAACACAAGGCACTCGCCGACCCACAGGACTTCCTTCACGCTCTCTCCTACCTCCTCCACCACATCGAAGGCGAAGTCGAGACCCTCCTCTGGTGTGCCCTCCTGCGTCTCGAGGTACTCCATCACCGCTTCGCTGCTGAACCGCAGTGTGAAGAACGCTGTCTCGGTGACGATGGCGAGCAGCTCCCCACTCTCGCTCCACTGCACCATCTTTGGGCACTCATCGATCTGGCGGATAAGGCTCAGTGTCGCCCAGTCGTAAAAGGTTATGCTCGACGCTGTGCACACTGAAAAGAGTGGGCCACCGAACAACTTCTCTGCGCTCTCATTCAAAGCAATTGTTGCACGCTCCTTAAAGTTCTTGTACACCTTAAGTGTCATGGATGTTTCCAACACGGCGTAGGAGCCGTTTTCTGGGCCCCACACGAATGAGATGCACTTGCCGTATGACTTGGGCCGCATCGAGAGCGACGAGAGGACCGTGTAGTCATTCTCCCCAAGCAGTGCAATGAACTGGCCACTAGGGCCGTGCAGGATGGCAGAAGGCGACGTCTCCACTGCGCCCATGTCTTTAGTCGGGAGGGAAAGCACATCACCGTCAGCCGCGTCTACAGGAATGCCCTTTGCATCGATACGTGTTACTTCGTTACCGACAGCCACAAGGATTTTTCCACTCGGGTCCATCGAATACACAGGCTTATCCTCGCCTATCTTGTACACAACCGTACCGCCGTCATAGCCAACCACCAGGACATTCGCGTACCGCTTCGCTGCCATCGACCAGCCGCGGTTCATGCGGGAGTGGTCAATGCTGAGTAAAAGGCGGTGTGTATCGGATGCAATTATTTTCATCTCCATGTCCTCTGCCAGTGTAAACAGCAGCGGCTGGCTTGGGTGAAATAGCACCGCCGTGACGTTAGCTGCGTGATGAGAAAATACCTGCAAGCAGGCTCGGGTTTGGTAGTCCCAGAGACGTACTGTTTGGTCATCAGACCCACTGAGCAGGTACGGCTTGTCGCCGCCAGGGTAGTAGTCGACGCAGTTCACGCCGTCCTCGTGTCCCTCGAGCTGGAAGTTCGGCACCGGGCTGTTGATGCTCCACACCTTCACCGTGCAGTCAAGGGAGGCTGTCGCGAAGGTTGACGGATCCTTGGGGTTGAAGGCAATGCCCATAACGTAGTGCATGTGACCTTCGTGGGTGTTCACAAGAGCCCAGTTCTTGCTCCAGTCCCACTGCCGGATTGTCATGTCGTCCGAGCATGTCATGAGAAGCGACAGATGCTCGTGCACCCCGATGCCTCGAATATAATCTTCGTGCGCCTGGAACGTCTTCGTCTTCTCCATCGTGTTGTAATTGAAGATGCGGATCATCATGTCGTCCGTGCCGCACGCAAACGACTGAAGTCGTGGAATGAATCGCACGCAACGCACCGGGAGCCCTGTGCCCGTATCAAACGACTTTAGCAGCGTCTGAGTCTCAAGGTTCCACAGGTTGATCACCCCGGAATAGAGCGAGCACAGGAACAATGGCTCCTTTGGGTGCATGTCTACCATCTTCACCCGGTCGCTCGCGGCCGTCATGAGCGTCGCCGGCGCCGCTATTGCCTTGCCAGACATCCCTGGTTTATATATTCACTTCACTCCTTATTGTTGCTCCCACGGATCAACAGGTAAGAAAAATAAGGCAGAACACAATGGCGGAGCACCACAGCAGAGTCTACTGTAGGAGCGGCAACAGCAATACTCTTTTATTCGTTGCGGCACATTAAGTAAAATGAACAGGTGGGCAAAGCACAAACCCTAGGAACAACAAGGAAATCAGAGCCTCCTCTCCAGAATGAAAAAAAAAACAAGATTGAAAGCAGTCTGCCCTCGTTAGCAAGGCTGTCGCGCCTTCAGTATATACAACTGCACACATGCATGTTTGTTTCCACGTGTACGCAGATATCATTTTTATTGTTCTTTTGGGGGGTCTCCCTTTCCCTCTCTCCCTCTGCCCTTGTTTATGCGACCATGTAGCGACGCGCGTGCCCACATGCACACAGTCACGGTGAGTGGAAAATGGGAGAACACAATCCACATCACAACCGTCACGTCGCACCGCGCCTCTCAGCCCATCACATGGCAAAGCAATAAAGGTTCACGCCCTTCAGCCATATCGCACAGACCACAAAGGCCAAACCACTGAAGCAAGTGAACAAAAGCACAAATAAAAGATTTTTTAAAAAACAAACGAATGATATTTTTTTTTTTACAACAAGAGTCTCAGCCGGTTAGAGAATCAGAAAGCACAACCCCGGGGGCCTCACACGGCAAGGCAGGTCAGCAGCACCAGCAGCAGCGGCACGCGCCCCCATGCATGGCCGCGGCTGCTGTCCTTCTTCCCGGTCGCATTGCCGTCGCCGGAGCCGTCCTGGTCCGATGCTTTCTGCCCTGCCTTGCCCCCGCCATTCCCAGCCTCCTGTTTCTGCTCGGCGAGCTTCGCCGCCTCCTTCGCGGCGGCAACCATCCGCGCCGCCTCCGCCTCAACGAGCTTTTTCGCCTCTTCTGCCTCCGCCTTCTCCTTGGCGCGCAGCTGCTGCTGCTCCTTAGTGTGCCGTTCCACCAGGGCGTTGGCCGTTGCCGCGACTTCGTGCGCCGTCTCACGCGCTGCCCCCGCCCTTTCAGATGCTGCCTGTGCCTTCCCTGCTGCATCCGCCGCGTTCACCGCGTACCGCTCGGCATTTGACGCCTCCTCTTCAGCCCGTTGCGCCTCATTTTCGGCCTTCAACTGGGCTTCTGGCCCGTCCGGACCGCCTGCACGTACGATCCTCGAGTGCCGCAGCACTTCGTATGCTGCATGCGTGGCCGCCTCCTCGGCCCTATCTGTGGCCGTCAATGCAGTCATGCACTCAGATGCTGCCGCTGCTGCTTCCTTTTCGGCCAACGAGGCCTTCTTTATCGCCGAGCTCCGTGCGAATGCCTCCGCACTCAGTGACTTCAAGACCTTTTCAGCTTCTGCCGCATATGTCTCAGCTTTCTTTGCGTCCACCTTGGCTGCTTCACACCGTTTCTTGGCTTCCAACGACTTCGCATAAGCTGCATCCATTGCCTTCAGTGCCCTCGCCCTCGTCGCCTTCCCCGCCACTGTTGTGGAATCCCCGACATCCTCACCCGCCAACCTCGCCTCAACATCTTCACTCGGCTTCCGCAGAGCAATACTGTCATCGGTTGGCGAGAGCATTTTAGTTCTGGTGGAAGCCGAAGGTGAAGCAGATGAAGCTGAAGCCATTACACTGGCACACGCGCAGCAAAGCGCGAGGGCAGACACAAAAAACACGTGGCACACCATTATCTTTATCAAGTCCTTGATTCAGCTGTTCGGATTTGTCTTTCTATGCACAGGTTCGAGAGAAACACGCAGTCCTTCAGAAGTATGAATAGCAGGAGGGCTCCTCGCATCATGCAGAAAGAGTCATTCAGAAAACAATCAAATTCGGAAGCGCCACACACATCCTTATATATATATATATAAAAAAAAAAGACACATCAAGAGAACGGAAGGTAAGAGAAAAACGAGGCAATCGTGGTACCCCTTTGCATGGGGTGCGATGAGCACGGTACGCAGAGTGGCACGTACCCCTCGGCACCGCGCACAAGAAGAACGTCCATGCATGTTTTTTTTTTTAACCATCAAGACTAATCGTGAAGACCACGGCGCATGAGGCACTGCGCCAAACAAACCTCAACCCTAGACGCAAAAAAAAGAAAACAAAGCACGTTCATCATCCACACCCCAGCGCCCAGTGAACACCGTCAAGGGATGGCTTCAACGACGCCTAGACTAAAAATGCTGCACTCACAAATGGAAAACGCAACGTCTTTTTGTGGTCCACGGGAATCCAGTCCCCAGATCCGCCCAAAACTTCTGGTGAATCATCGCCCTTCACACATATACACAGAAAAGCACTCAACTTGGGTGTAACGCCACGTCAGGCAGTGTCCCGAACAGGAGCAGCGGCATCACACACATACGCACACACGGAGCCGTCGCGGCCGCCTGTTTCATCGCTGTCATCTGGAGAGCTATTTTCGCGCTAATTGACCCGTTGGAGGGTATTTCTTTTCCCTCTTCGTGTCCTCCTCACTGTCATCAACGGCCCAGCACCGCCAGCCACCATCGGAGAGCACGTTCACCGCCACTTGTCGCCGGTAGGAAGGAGAGCCCCTTCGCTGTTGTTGTTTTTTTTAGGTGTTTCATTGTTTTTCGTTGTTGTTCCTTGTTGTTTGGGTTGATTCTATATTTCGTTATCCGCTGGGTTGCAGCTCTGCCCGTGAGGAAAATCGCACTGGAGGATGCAGGCGTCCCTTTCACCGCACCCGCGGCCCCGCCAACACCCCCACACCCGGGGTCCCACAGGCCTCCTGGTCCAGCCATGGGTAAATCATCGCAGAGGGGGTGATGCGCTTTGATGCTGAGTGGGACATGAAACCAATCAAATAATGAAGCAAACGGAGGGAGGAGTGGACTACTCCCGATCCCGCATGATAGGCGTCGCATCCGTCGGCGAAGGTTGTCGAGAACAAAGCCTTTCCACCACAAGAAGGTACTGAGAAAGCTTTTTCGTGAAGCATGGCTTCTCCACCTTGACCTCACCAAGAGCAAAGCGGCAACAGAAACTCTTTAGGGCGGGGCAGCTCAATAAGTGCATGCTCTTCTCCTCACACTGTCCACGTTGGCTTGGTTTCACTGCGCCCGGCCTGCATCCGTGGCTAACGACGCGGTGCTTTGTGAGCCCATCTGTGCTGTGGCCACTGGTGCCCACACGTCGGGCATACAAAGGCAGCAAGGGGTATTTCCTCGGGAGCATCCTCTTAGAGCCTCCAGCGTTTTCCTGTTGTGGGAACCCCTTGATCCTCATGAAATCTTCTGCAGTGTGACGTGACCGAATCAATATGAGCGAACCGCTTTCAAGCACACCACGCATTGTTTTCCCTTCCGCTGCCCTGGCAGGAGTGGGCGTTTTTCCCTCGTGTTTTATCGGTGCCTCCGTCTTGAGGGATGCCTCAGTTCTTGTACGCTTTGGAAGATGTGATAATGCTTCGTCATTCTCTTCTTGCTTTATGGCAGTGGTGTGCAAAGCAGGGGATTCTACTCCCTCTCGCTTGAGGGGTCTTGGCGTGGGTCGGTCCGGTTCCTGTATAGCCTCTGCCACAGCCCGACAGGGTGTTTGTATTTCATATGAACATGCATTGCTCCAGCTTTACCAATGATGCACACACCGCATGACAGACGAGGGCAATACTGTGTCCCAGCAAGACGCGGCTGGCCCATCACCGGCCTACCCACGTCAGCGTTAGGCTGCGCGGCCTGTGTAACCTTCCTTGATGCCTTGTTCCGCTCGCTCGCTTCTTCAACGGCCTTCGCCGCGAAGGTGCGCTGAAGACGTCACACGGCACGTCCTCATAGCCACCATCCGGGATGGCTTTAGTCGTCCGAGTGTGCTCCCACATGCGAAACAGCTAGAAGCACACAGGCAGTCACGCAGACAGAGAGAGAGAGAGTCATACACGCGACCAAAAGATGACCGAGCAGCCAGTCTCAGAAGTAGCAGCGAACAAGGAAGGAATGAGAAACGTTGTTTGTGTCCTCTCTCCCGCAAAAAAAAGTCTCCAGTTAAGAAGAAATTCGCGAAACAGAACACTTCAGTGGGAGCTCCGGCCCCACATGCGGAGAGCGCTCTCCGCGCTACCCTCCTCTCCGAGGGAGGTCCCCCAAAATCGGGAACAACAGTTCACACGTGTTGGCACCAGTCGTCCCCCAATTTGTTCGTCGATAAAGTCACTCATTCAAAAATGGCGTCTCCTCCACCTTCCACGTCCGTTGTTTTGTCTCACTGTTGACGTAATAGAGGCGCCCGCTCTTGGGGTCTCTGAACTCTTTCCACACGCCAGAGACCCGGATAGCACCTTTCTTCACCACCCCCATCCCCTGATGTTGCTCCGGTTGTGTTGGATGTGTCGCTGACTGTTGCTTCATTTCAAGCACCTCGGGCGGCGGCTTCCAAACTGCCTCCTTCGTCAGAATGTTCCTGTAGTACAGCCTACCCGTCTCCTTCTGGCGCAGCTCCTTCCAATTGCCGTAGAGCACGTCGCTGGCCTTTGTCCCCTCGGACGTTGATGCTGCAGCACCGTTTTGGTTGGTCCCCACATCGGGTTTCGGTGCTGTCACCTCTTCTGAATCTTCTTGTTCTTCCTGTATTGCGTGTATATCTTGCGCTTCCACTTTTTCTTCTTGTCCCTGTTGTTGTGCCACCTCGGCGTCGCGCCTCTCGCGCTTCAACTCTTCCGTCAGTGAACGGTCGCCAGCCGACAGCGCCTGTCGTTGCTCATCTGCCTTGTGCTGTGACTCCAACCAGCGTGCTGCATTCGCCTCCACATTCCGCCGCGCCGCCCCGTCGACAGTGTTCAATGCGTGTATTTCTCCCACTCCAATATCAGCCTCCTTCTTCTCAAGTACTTGTGTTTGTTGTTGTTGTTGTTCTTGTTCTTGCTCGCCCTGTGGTAGTGCCTGCGTCCCCTTCCTAGCGAAAGGCTGCACCGGGTGCACCAGCTTCTCTGC